AAGTTTAAAAAGGGAAAATAAAAAAAAAAAATTTTTTTACTCATTGAATTTTTACTTATTTCTAAAAAGGCTGCAATAAACTTTTACTCTTATATATTATTTATTTTAAAAAAATTATATTATACATAATCAGAGGTTTTATAATAGGTGTGTAAGTTTTAATAAGGATAAAAAAATATTTTTATTAATTTAAATAAACTCTTCTAACATATTAAACACTATTTTGTGTAAATCATATATATAATGTCTACCTATTTTTAACAAAAATATGTTTTTTTAACAATTAAAATTTGTAAAGGCCACTTTGCATACTTTTTTTACATTCGTCGCTCTTTGTTATACAAAGTTATTATATAGATAACTAATAAATAAAATATTGATTTATTATAACATTAAATAACTTTATATTTAATATAAAATAATTTATTTTATGTTGTAATTATGTTAAGATTATATACTATTTTTAATAAATAATTTTATAAAAAAAATAAGTAAAAAATATTCTACTGCATTTTATTGATATGGTTGTTTAAATTTCTCTCAAAGTATTTAAGTACCAAAATAAAAGAGTATTTAAAAAGTAACATTTTTATATATTATTGTTAGCATTCAAGTTTAAAGCATTTATAAAGAATTATTAAGTTTAATAAAATTTTAAATGCTCAGTAAAGAATATATTAATCTATTTTTATACATTAAGTAAATATATTAAAGAAATTATTTTAACTACTTGATCAAAAAGGGAATCTGTCTAAAATGCTCTAGTTTAATTAAAGATAACATGCGATTCGAAACTATCTGTATCTATGAAATTTCCATTAAATTACGTGCAGTTCTCTTTTTATATATATATACTTATATATTTATTTATAACTTTTTTATTTTTCTTTCATAATTATATACATGAACTTTTGTGTGATTCAACATAATAAATTTTTAAGAGATACACCTTTAGTGTATAAAAATATACACAATGTTAAAAATATCCCAAAAAATAAATAAAGAGAAAACATCCAAGCTGAAATTATGTATGATAAAATTAAATAGATGTGCTTTTTGAAAAAATGCTCAGAAAAATCGTTATGTTTCTGTATGCATGAAATGTTTATTACATGTTTTGTGAATGGCATGATAGGGGCTTACATAATTTGAGCTAATTAAAAACTTAAATATTATATCCTTATAGTATGAGTAATTGATCTAATTAAAAACAATATGAATTCTCTATATGTTTTTTGCTAGATTTTTTTCCGAGTATCTTATTAAAGTTATTAAATTATTCATTAAAATATTAATTAAATATTAAAATTGATATTTATATAAATATATGCATATTATATATATATATATTAAATTATTTAAATATAATAAAAGAAGTATATATTATTCTAAATTCTCTTCATTAATTGAATTGTTCATAATAACAAAAAAAATTTAAGAACAGATAACTAATAAATCATTAAATCAATTATCTTTTATCTAACAAAATTAAAAGTAATTAATAAAATAAACCGATGACTTTTTTTCTAATACGTATTTTTCTAGCTTTAATTAATAAAGAATATTATTCACCTTTTATAAAATAGTATTTAATAACATATGCGTAAAGTATGAAGTTAATTATTCTAGTTCAATATTTAAAAAAAAATCTTAAATAACTATATTAAAAAAATATTTTATTTTTCTTATTTTTAGTTGTAACATCTTTATTTTTAATCCTGTTTTTTGAAAAAAAATGGATTTTAATTTTAAGAAGAGAAATTCTTTTAAAAAATTAATGAAAATAATTGGAGAAAATTATCCATTATTTTAAGATTGTTTTATATATAATCAGAGATTTTCATACACTAAATGTATATTCTTTAATAAAAATAAGTTAATTTTTAATTAAACATTTCAAATGTATTATAAATTAATATGTTCAAAATAAATAAAACGATATATTAGTATATTTTATTTGAAGAATTTTAAAGTTATATAAAATAAACCAATTAACTTATTTAATGATATTATAAAAAATTTAAATGTTGCTTATAAGAAATTTTTTTTTCGATTAGTATATTTAATAGAAACCACTATATATGTTATTTATTAATTTCATAGATCAATAAACAATAACAAATAAAAAGATAATAAATTAAATGACGTGTAAAAAAACATTAATTGAAAAATCAATTTTATTAAATAAAATATATAAAAATTCATATTTTTTATGTTAAAAAATGATTATTTGATTCTTTTTCTATTATTGACGTTCGTAAAGAATCATTTATGAAAAAAAGAAAAAATAAAAGTAATTTATAATATATATTTTACTAATAATAAATACAAGATATATAAGCAAATATAAAATTTTATGTATAACTTTAATAATATTGTTAATTATTCAACTTTATATTAAATAAAAATTTTATCATCATAAAATATTAAATATGAAAGTTTTAAATGCATATTAATAACAAAAATTTTATATAAATATTCATATTATTTTAAATTCATATTATATATTTTTTATTAAACATCTCATTTCTACATACACTAATATTAAATACTTTGTTAAAAAAAAATAGATTATTCAGAACTATTTATTAACATTAAAACATACATATATAATTAAAGGATAAATAAATTTTATCATTTATATATAAAATGAAAAAAAAATCTTTTTGCTATAATAGTAATACCTTTTTTTTCTTAATAATAGTATTAGAATTTTGGAAAAATTATTTACTTTATATTTGTATGTCTATTATTTAATTATATTCATTAATAAATTTGTAGTGTATAATTTTTGTTTCAATAATATTTAAAAATTTACAATTTCTTTTAGATTAGTTAAAATAAATAATCCAAAAATTTAAAAAAAAAATTCAAACATATAAAAAAGAATACAATAACTTAAAGCATCATTCTACTAATCTAATCCAAACAAATCTATTATGATTATGTAATTTGTTGTTAATTGCCCATAAATTATAATTTAAAAAATTCTTATATAAAAACGCCAAATTTTATTAATAATAAGGGATTAATTTAATTATATATATAAATATGCATTACCTTTTTTTAGATACAATTTATTTGATTTTTTAATGAAAATTTTTTACATTATCTTTCTTTTAATATGTAAAATAACTTATTTATCTGAAAAGAAAGTATAAATATTATTTTATATTTTAAGACGAATTAATTATGATTTTCCATAAAAAAAACACAAGGTATCTTAAAAAGGACTAGAGTATATATCTTTTTTAAAAATCATTCATATAAAGTATTAATTTTTCAAGGACAATCAAGTCTTTATTTTACATGTATAGTAAAAATATAATAAAAAAAAATATGCAAATTTTTCAATATATCAAAATATTGCATTGATAAAATATAAAAGATGATTATAAACCTTGTATATATAAAAAAGAAAATTTATCACAATTATTTTTCTGGTTCTATTATTAAATTCATAAATTTCATAATTATTTAATGTTATTATTTTTGAAAAAGTTTAAGTATCATTATCATATCTACAAAACATTTTTTTTATTCCCATTTTAAAAATAATGCATGCAAAAAATTTATATTACATTTTTTTTCAAATATTACTAAATTTTAACTAATCATTATAACTTCATATGAATATAAAAACAAACTTAACTAATTTTGTTTTTAATGAGAATTCAATATTATTGTATAATTTACACTATTGTTAAATTCTTAAAATTTATAATATACAGATTTTGCTTTTTTTTTTTTTATTTAAAAATAATTGTTGATTATGTTTCATTAATATATATTCATTACATTCATATTGTAAAATTTATTTACCACATCATAACGACATTATAACTTTATCAAAATAAAATATTCATTAATTCAGTACTATAATTATTTTTTTGTAATGTTATTCATATTTTATCATTATATCTGAATATGAAATAACTTTTAATTACCGCTAATTTTATAATCATAATTATTTATATTTTAACTCTTAAAAATCCTTATTTGTATTTTTTTATTTTCATTTTTTTTTTCTGCATTAATATTTTTCATTAATATTTTATATATTTATATTTTTTTTTTTCATAATCATCTTATTTTTTTGAAAATTATAATATTTTTTATTCTTATTTTCAAATTTGTTTCATTTTTAACTATTTTTATCCATTTTCATCGTGTAGTTATCACTTCAATTATAGTAATAATAATCATTTTCATGATTTATAAAAAAATTTTTGCATGTATTAATTAATTCTGTTTAAAATTTCTTCTATTCGATATGAAATTATTGTACATAATTATTCCTTCGTACTGATAATAAAATATTATTTGAATTATATTTAAAAAAAAATTACTCTTAAAATTTAAAAAAAAAAACAATTTTTATAAATTACAAAATTTCTATTTTAAGTGAGAAGTTTTTTTTCTTTTCATAATTTAATCATATATAAAATCAATTAATTGCTTCGATATGCGATACTATTATATCTATAATAAAGTAAATTAATTTAAGAAATATTTACCATTTCATATTTATTAAATTTAAAAATAGTACAAAATATTATCGCTAATTATTCTTTTTTTTCTTTCATTAAGCTAAGAATTCTTTAAAATCAATTTTAAAACATTATTATTAATTAATTTTATTTTCTGTTAATTGTTTATATTAATTTAAAATATATGAAATATTCTTCATTAAAAAAAAAAATTAGCTATATAAATCATATTGTATTAAAAGAAAATCTCTTCTTAAACAAAATTTAAATTATTTTAATAGCTCCTCGTGAAAAAAATAAATAAAAAAAAACTGTATTAATTAAAATTAAAATTTATAAATAACTAAGAAATAATGGGTTTAAACATATTCTTTTCTATAACTTATTTTATAAAAAGTTAAAAACATCCATTTTATTTAAAAATTGATAACGTATCATTATTTATATGTGTTTCAAGATTAATTTCTTAAAATAACAGAAAATTACCAAATATGAACAAAAAAATTTAAGATGAGTCCAGAAGAAAACAGAAATATCACTGGTCATATGGCATTTCTTAATGATCCTAAGCCATATAAAATATTTATTGCATTTTCAGCAATTAATATAATTCCTCTAATAATAGGTGTAATTTTGATAATTTATATTTGCAGAATATGCGTAAGATAAAATTAATTAAACATATATATAATGCTTTTAATTTTTTTAATACATATTTGAATTAAAAGTTCATTGATGTAAAAAAAATCTTTATGCTGACTTTCAATTTTCGTTGTAGTGGGAAGAGCGTGGGACAAATTATAATGCGGATAATTTATCAATAGATTCAGGATATGGAGGAAGGTCAATAGATCGACTTGATATAATATAATAATAGGATTTCATCTAAGAAAAGTATTGGAGTATATTTCAAAAAATTTAATGTTTTACTTATTATTATATGTACATAAGTACAGTATAAATACTCATTTCCTTATATATAAATGTTTGATTTTTATTTAGTTTTCGATTTTCTATGTGAATTTTAAAAAAATGTTAATTTATGTTATAATGCTTTAATAAACTTTCATTGCAAAATATTTTTAAAAGTATTTAGCTAATGATTTCATAAATTGTATATATCAAAATTTTTATCACTTTTTGTTATTAATGCTCCTACAGGGAATTGCAAATTGCATCATTTAAAATTTTGTTCAGTAAAGGATGCTATTAAACTTTTCGAATATAAAATTTAGTAGTAAAATGAACATAGAAAATTTACTATTACCACAGATGATTTAAGTGAACATCTAAGTAACTACCAAAAAACCTTATTGTATATCCATATTGTCAATAAAAAGTATTTTAACTTTTTTAAGTATACAAAATTAAAATAAATTCCTAAACTCTATAGATTTAAGACTTTCAGAAGTATGTGAAAATTTAAATGCTTTATATTATCAAAGCATATAAATTATATATATATAATTTATTTATATATACCTTTTTTATTATAATACTAATTTATGTTTAATATTTTCATAGAAAAAAGAGAAGTTAGGGATAACTCATTTTAACAATTTTATATAAAGATAAAAAATAAAAATATATAGAGATAAGACTTTTAATTATAATATCATATATGTATATGTATCCATTATTTATTAAGAGTTATGTATTTATTAAATGTTATATATATATTAAAATAAAATAGAAAATAAAAACATAAATTCCTATTTTATAATAAAATTATTATTTACATTGGCAAAAATATTTCAGATTTGCACTATATTAATTTATTTGTTCAATACTTTTCAAAATCTTTTAGCATGCAATTATTAAATTACTGTAATAAAAAAATATTTTTTTAGCTACTTTTAGTTATTTTTATTACTGATAACTATATATTATTTTTTTTAAAAAATTTTAAAATAACTTTTTACGAAAAATTCTTAATTTGTATAAAATTATTTTATATATAATCAAGAGCTTCTATGGTGAGTGTTAAAGTTATCATAAATAAAAAAGTAACTTTTTATTTAATAATCACTTTTTTTCTTAAAAAATAGTTAATTTATAATGAATAGTAAAAAATATTCCATATACTTTCACATAAAAGTTTGTAAATGTTTTATGAAATAGGACATTCGATTCATGTTGTGTAAAGTAATTATATATAGTTTTTTATTCATTAAATTGTATCATTTATAACAAATAAATTGAAAGATCCCACTTTATACGCTTTTAATTAATTTGTATTCTTAATTTCTTATAAAGGTTTTATAAGAGGAGATTAATGCAAAATACATATGATAAATCTTTTATAAAAATATAAATATAATATCTTTAATAAAAATATTATCTCTTAGTGTTATTCTTTCTCTCTGTATTTTAATTTATGTCATTGAAATATTCCTCTTTCTCATGAATGATTAATTTATCTTCATGAAAAAAGTACATCCTTTTATTTTGCTCATATTTCATTTTACAAAAAAAAACAGAATAAACAAAAAAAAATATAACTGCATAATGTGTATGTATGTCCATCTAAAAACCATGTAAGTTGGAAGATTTTCATTTTAAAAAAATATACACCCTCTCCAATATTGTGAATTTCAATTAATTAGTTGATGTTATATATGAAGAAATTTTTATGCTTATTTTATTAATCATGTAATTTAAAAAAAATACAGATTAACTATTTTTAATGCTAATGGAAAAAAATTATAATTGTTTCATTGTATGTTGATTCAGGATGTTTCGCTTATAGAACATTATAAGGAATTTAAATGCTCATTTTAAATTTTCGTATAAGAAAATTATTCACTCTTAAACTAAAAGGATAAATATAATATAATATTAAGATTTTACGGAAAAAAAAATTTAAGATATTTAATAAAAATATTAGATCCCAATATTTTTATAATTAAAAGAAAAATAACAATTTATAACTCCCTAATTTATTAATTGCCTGTTCATTGACTTTCTTAGATTATCGAACAAACTAATTAATAAAGAGCAAGTAGAGTTGCTTCTACTAATTTAATGAATTTATGTATAACTTTAATCCTATAAACTATTAAATTGTTTTATATATAATGTACTTCATTGAGAATTTATTATTTTTAAGAGACATTTATTTACTTTAATATAAATTCTATATTTTTATTAAAAATCTAATTCCCCATTAATTATTTTTTTGTAATTGCATATACTTTACATATAAGGTTATGAGTAATTTTTAACGGTTCAAATTCATTACTCTCAAATTAACATACATAAGTAATTAATTGATTAATAAGAAGTATCGCTAACATTTTTGAGAATAAAAAGTAATAAATGCATGGGAAATAAATAGTTATCCATGCAAGAAATAAATAAAAAAAAAAAAAAAATTTGGACTAAAAAATTTCTTATAGTATATTTTGTTTTAAATTTATCTAAGAAAATTTTATATTAATGATAATAAAATTTTCATATTTTGTCGTATATTTTATTCTGTATTTTGTTAATATTAGAACAATGTGTTTGAATTTCTTAACATTACTCATAGTAATTTAAATAAAATGCATGTAATTAAAATCAATAATTAATGACCATTTAAATTTTTAATAAAAATAAAGATTTTCATTAAGTTAAATAATTGCCTCTTAGAAACAAAGAATTCTCAAAGAAGTAGACTATATATATAAGACAACTTACTGGTTTGTAGCATTAAAATTACACATAAATTCATTAAATTAGTAGAAGTTGCTTTGCATGTTCTTTAATAATATGTTTGTTCAATACTCTAGCAAAATTATGAATACACAACCAACATATTAAATCCTTACGTAAATACATTTTAATATAAAATAAATATTTTATCTATTTTATATTAAAAGCCTTTAAATTAATACTACATTAAATAAATAATTAATATTTCTCATAAACTCATAATTTAATTAATACTATTATTATTTATCTCAATCCATAGTGTAATTATTCATAAAAAGAAAAAAGAAAAAAATATATATATGCACTTTTTTTTTGAGTATACGCATTTCAGAGTACTAATTTATCAAATTTTCGTTTAACTAATAGTGCAATAATCAAATTAAGAACATTGAAAATTTTTTTTCTTTGTTTCATTCTTTGTAATGTTACTTATAAATATCTATATCATCCTTACATAATTATGTGTAATATAAAGTAATTTATTTCATATTTAAAACATTATTAAAATAATACTATTCTTAATATTTGACACTTCTTCATGCATTAAAAATTTGTTTTTTCTTAAATTTTATGAAATCCATTATTTACCAAATACATTTATATTATTTTTAATATATGTTATTTTATAATTCTAAAAAAAAAAATAGCAAATGCAAGGAAATAAAATAAAATAATTATGCTTATCCATGTATATATATATATATTTTTTCTTTTTTGTTTAATATAAATGAATATAATTCATTTTACGCGTTCCATCAAATATCCTACATATCTGATCTAGAAATGATATTATCAATCTATTTTAAATAATATCTATAAAAATAAACATATTGTTCATTAGATCTCACTAAATATACAAGAAAAATTATACATATATGAATTCTATACTAAATGAAAATGCATGCTCTAAAAGCACTGGAAAAAAAAAAAATAATTTTTATCTGCACTAAATATTATTTCATAATACTTTTATTTGTGTACCTTCACAATAATAAAAAAATAAATATATCTTATATTTTTTGGGGGGAGTAACATAATATTGACTTAAAAATTAATCCATAAATAAATTACAATCTTTATTTTATTATTTATTTTTGTTATATAACAATCTTCATAAAAAAGAATTTCTCTTTTTTTAGTTTTTTTATGGGATAGGTAATATATATTTTTTGTGACAAATTAAAAATGTAATGCTAAATATTGCATGTTTATAGTATTGCGTAAATTTATTTAAATATCTAACATACTTAATATTTGTTATTAATTAGCAAAAACAAATAATTTATTTTATCTTAAAATAAGTTTTCTCTATCTACTCTATTAATTCGTTTATTCGATACTAAAAAAGTCAATTACCCGTTAATTAGTAAATCCAATACCCCACTCTCTGATAAATAGAATAATTGACCTTGTTCTTATTTATAACAATAATCAATATAAAATAGATTCAACTTTATGTGAGTACCTAAAAATTGAAATGGAAATGCATCGAAACGCTTAGATATTATGATTCTAGGAATAGATTACATAAAAAAAAAAAAGTAAATTATATTTATTTTTGTATACTATTCCATACATGCATATACTTTTTACATACTCTAAAAAAAAACTTATTTAATAATTTTTCTAGGGGGGAATTTTTTTTTTTTTTTTCTGCTTATTATAATTGAGGATACTGTATTTAATGAAGTTTTCAATTTTATATATTTTTATATTCCTAATTAAAACATAAAATAATATATAATTTAATTTTTACATTTTATCATTTATTTTATAATATTAAAGTTTTAATGTTATAAAATTTGTCATCAGGAAATAATATAAAAGTAGAGGTTCCTCCATATTCTCTATTAATTTTATTGTTTAAAATATAGTAAAATTATTTAAACAACAAATAAATTAAATACCTAAACTTTTAGCTGCATTCTATTTTATATTAATAATAGTTCACAAAGTTCAATGTGACATTGTTTGTTATTTATTTGCACAATTTTAAACAATTCTTAAATTAATTTAATATAATGTGCATGAAATTAAATTATGGTTTTACATTTATTATCTAATTAAAAATTCGAAAAGATCTATAAAATTTTTTTATATTAATTAAATATTTATATTTTAATAAAAATAATATTTTTTATTTAAATTGTTATAAACATTATATATGAAATAATA